AGGTAAGGAGAGGTACAAGCAGGGGCTTATCGAAATTAGGAAGAACACCACTTCCTGTGCTTCATCTAATTGAGTGATGTACAGTAAAGGTTAGGACCAAAAATGGGTTTGAAGCTGTTTACTTTCTTTATTTCAGCTGAGGTGGTGCCCTTTTTTACTTATCTTGGCTTCACGCGGTGTGATGCGGTAACTAAATCTTCTCATTTTCTTGCCAAACCGAATACTCTTTCTAGGATGAGGTGTTTGATTTCTCAAGGAAGCTTGAAGATTATATTTGTAGGATATATATTAGTGGAAATACATATAATAGTTTGCTCTAATGTATTGTTTTTATTTATTTATTATTTATTAAATTAGTAAATGTAAAGATTATGATTATTATTTCCTCATTGCTTTCCTTTACAACTTCCGAAAAGAGCATTGAAATTTCGTCTAATCTTTAATCAACTTTCAACTTTTCCGCCTTTCTTTTTCTTAGTGCTCAGCAGCGTACTTTTCATTGTTTTTTCAGGTTTTAGAGAGATAATTACGAAAAATGTTCTGCGTGCCGCGTTCATTGCGCGATGGGCCAGGCATAATTATGACTCCTGCTGGGGCAGGGCTCGAGAGGAGACTAAGAGAAAAGGGTTAGTGAGCGGCACACTCCGCGCTTTTCACAGTTCAACACAATTTTTTATGCCTTCGCTACATTTCGTTTCGTTTCGCCGCTTGCTTTTTATGTATGGCGCGTGTGTTTCGTGTTAAATTTGTAGCTCCATTCCGGCAAGCAGTCCACGTAGATAAGACATTAAAAAGTGGCAGCCACCACAGAGGGCAGTTAACAAAGGCCACAGTGCGATACGGGAAAATAGGGCGAGGCATCAAGATTATGCAAAGGCGATTGTCGTCCATCAACTGAATTGAAAAAAAAGAGTAGATTTATGCAACATTTTCCATTTGCTAAGCAAACAGAACGCTGAAAACCTGAAATCGATTTGTGGCTCCATGACAAACACATGTTGCGTTCAATCCACGACGATCCCTTGCCAAGTGGAGTGCCATTGAGGAGTTGCCTGGCCCCGCTTTCTCCTCTCAGCCCCTCAGCCTTTCGGATTTCGCTGCAGTTTCTGGCATAGAGACCCGACTCTAGCCCCGATCCGTCATTCCCAGGCCGCCCCCGTTCTACGCCCCGGTCTTACCTTTGATGGCTTGCCAAACAGTTGGAATATGATTTTTGCAATTTTCGCATGAACTCAACCAAAAAATTAAACTTGACTACACTGCACAAATTGTAAAGTTTTTAATACGTTCTGGGGCGCTTCTCCCCTGGCGACGAGGGAGCGTGGCAGTTGTTTCAGGGTTGTCAATCTGTGCGAAAGTCAATAGGAGAAAAAATGTGTTGCCCCAACCATCCTGGCACTCCAATACAGTAATATTTGCACCACTCCACTGTGGCCTGTATGCGTTAAAACTTTTTCTGCTTGCAAAATATTTGAAAATTATTTTAATTAAGGCATTTTAATTAACACATACACCCTGACACACACTCACACGCGTGGCTTTCCCCGATGCTATTGCGCTGGTATGTTGGTTTTTCGCCTTATGTACATACACATATATATACATTTTTTTTTTTTTTTCTGCATAAATTGTTAGGGGAAGTCGGCCTGGCAACATCTCACCAGGCCGCATGTTGACACAGAATTTAAATTTATTTTTCTTGTTGTTTGCGTGATTATTTTACGGCCGAGTCAAACAAATTGAGGTACATGAGCTTAGGGGAAAGGTTTGCCGGGACTAGGAGAGGTTTAGGTTTATATTGCGAGTTGGTAGTTTTCTTGTTTCTAAAATATATGAGAAAATTATATTAATAGTAAACACCCTATACCTTAGCTTGTAATTTTGATGAATAATAAATATTTTGATACATTTAACCCACCTAAATCATTACAGAGAATTCTTCCTTCGTGGTCCTGGGCCAAGATAATTTTTTGCGAATTTCTCGTTCGGTGTAATATAACGATATTGCTCGGCTGCCATTAGTTCGAGACCGAGGCCTCCAGCCGACTGTAATTTATCGACGTGTTTCTATGTAACTGCCTTTTCTCCATATACATTTTTAGGCCAAACACGAGCGCTTAGCCATAAATTGTTGCGTTGAGCGACGCACGGAAACGGAGAGCGAAATATAGGTACAAAATAGCGCTGCGAAACGTCGAAAAAAGCTCAAAGGGAAAACCTAAAAAAAAAAACCTACAAAAAGCATATGAACGGGGCCGTTGCGCTAAATTTCATTTCATGCAGCACTGCGCCTCCAACGACATCGGGGCGGGGTGGGCTGGGTGAGGCAACTCCGCCGGGGTCAAGTTAAAGGGCGGCAGCCCGAGATTTATGTCTCCGTCCGGAGTGGCGGAGTGTCACCCTGGGCTGGAATTTTCCACGCTTCACTCCCTATGGCCGCCTGACAAATTTGCAATATTTGTGCGGTCGAGTCGCGGGTTAATTGAGTTCAAATATGCAATTACATATGCACTTGTTTACGGCGATTATTCCGGCCTTTCCGACAGGGGAAATAAATCAAATAATAAATGTCTGATGTTTTAATTAAAACTGCCGCCATTAAAAATGGGAATGGCTAAGAGCGGAAAAATTAAATGGAATACTTTGCGCGTATTTGCTCATTAATTTAGCTAACAAAAAGTGCGGTTGGTTTTTAATTAAAAAACACTAAAAAAAGAATCCGCATTACTATTCAAATTGTAATAAATGGCAAACGCTTCAATTATGAGTCTAACCTTAGCCCCAGGCATCGGCGAAATATGCTTCAATCCGCCTGCCGCCTTGGTACAGGACGTGCGAAGTCATTTGAATGCTAAAAACAAAAACCAATATTAACTTTTAAGCTTCCCTCTCGCTCGCGCTGCTAATTGCGTTGACAATGGTCGGAGGGTCAGAGGTTGGCAGGGGAACAGTGGCCGGCGGGGCGTGGTCCGCCTTCTGCTAATGAACATCGATTTGGCCTCAGCTGGGTGCGCGGCAGCAGCTCGAAAAACGCTTTCACCGTAATCGAAATCGGAATTTAAATTGACTCATTAAAACGGAGCAAAAAGCGGGTCGCACGACAATTAAACAAACGCTCTGGTCCCGGCTCCCCGCAATCCACTCCACTGGCACCTCCTGACTGCGGCTCCATTCTTAGCCCCCCCTGACGTGGGGTCATTAGTTAATTTGCCAAAGCGGCTTCTCTGCGGTAAAACGCTGTCGGTGGCTTTGGTCCTGCAAGTGTTATAGCACTCGAAGTTGGTATTCGAACAAAGAAACCGTCAGGCGAAGAGATTCAGGAGTCGTTACGGAAGTCTGGAGTTTTTGTAAATGGATATTAAGAATTAAGTGTAGAAGCCTTAAGTATTCAGATAGGTTAACTAGCAGCCAAAATATTATTCTCTCTTTTTAGAATCCCTCAAAATCCGAAAATTGTATACTAGAATCTTATTATTATCCCTAAAGTCAACTTTGACATTTCATATGATGTCAATCAGAATTTGCCACTGTCAAGGACAGGCTTTGTTCCCGTCCAGTAATTTATGTCTGCCACCTACCCCCGAGATCCCTGCCCGTCCTAGCCGCGGTTGCCTTGGTGCGGTGCGTGCCAAGCCGCAATCTGCCGGGCTATTAGATTTTATTGAGCCGCTGATTTACACAATGCGCTTCAATTCAATTCGCCGGCTGGTTTCCGCGTCGGGCTGGAGTCGAGGCGCGCAGCTAATCGCTAATGGGGGAAAAACTCTAAACGGGAATTTAATTTTCACACATAGTTGGGGCGGAAAAATCAATATGGAGCTACCCAGACAGGCTGGCCGGCGAACAACAAAGGCATAAATCACGCGTATAATTTTGTTACAGTATTTTTCCTTAGCTTTTTCTATTAGATGCCTTTCTATATACTCTATATTTGCGATGGAGCACTCCTTTTATTTACATTTACTGACCTCGGGGCAACTTGTCTATGGCTTTTCTGTTCTTTTTCTTTCTATTTCCCATTTTCTTTGCAAGCCATTGTATTGGGTCTGGGTAGTTTCTGGCACGTGTGATGAGATATTTATTAGGAGGCGACATGAAAGCAAACGAATCAATTGTTGGAAGGAACTCAAGTTGTTTGGAAGGCAATGTCTTGTAAGCTTAGAAAGGAAAGACTGCTGTTGTATTTAATTAAAAATAACAATAACTTAATTGCATATTAAACTATTATTATTGCCTGACTTGAGGGTCCCTTTCTTGCTCTATAATTAGTGAATAATAAACACTACGTAATTATTATTTGGCACAGGAAAAGCTTCATGTTCACCTTCAAGCTAATATTAGAATTATTGATTTGTATGTTCTTCTAGAAGGTATTTAGATATATGAGTATAATCAAGATTTACTAACCTGTCTCCTAGATCTGTAACCTAAAGTTATATTTTAAATATGTGTAGTAGCGACTAGTTTCTCTTATCCATTTGAAATTGTTTAAATTCCGAATGAAGCTCTCTTTTTGCTTACTCCCTGGACGCTGTCGATTCTAGTTGTATCCAACGTTTCATGTGGTTGACCATTCGAGTGGACGAGTGGGTTTTGGGGATGGTCCAGCGACGTGTATAAATTTGATTTACTAATGAGGGGAGAAAAGTCCAGTGGAGGGGAAAACCCGGGGCGAGAGCATATGAAATTTTAAGTAGTTTTTTCGCTTGGCACTTGCGGTTTGTCTTGCGGGTGTTGGGAATTGCGGTTGGCATGCGGACCGCAGGACGAGCAGGACTGCACACATGCCAGATCGACGAACGATTTAAATTGGCCAAGTGAGGGCTGAATAGGATTTCGGACATGTGTCCAAAAGTAGATTCCGCAAAGAAGCGAAAATTCAAATTAAAACCAACAAAGTTGGTCCAAAGTTGCGAATTGGATTCCAAACAAATAAGTGCGGACCGCAGAGGGTTGGAAAATAATTAATTAACTCTCTAAGGTTTTTGTAGTTCATCTATATTTACTTTTCGGCTTTTGCTTATACTCCGAGTATTTAATTTTGTTTTTGTCACATCTCTCCACCAACTTAGCTAACGCTTTAATTGATATTTATGCTTAATGCTGCTAGCCTAGCACAGTTTAAACTCTTTTATTTTCTATGATCTAGGGTGTCTTATAACTAGCATTCCTTTCCGAGCATTTCGCTCAAAAACTGTAGCTCTACGCAGGACCTTTGGCCAGTTAAAACGGCATTTTAAACATAAACTTTGATACATTTACATAAGTATGTTGTCTATATACAGTAACAGAATGATCTTTGGGTTAAACCATGATTTTTTACACAATCCACGAATATTATGTACACCGTTTACTTACAGTACCAATTACTCCTATGATATTTCTTTCCTATTTCGATAATATTTTTGCTACAAATATTTAGCTACTAATTTGTCCGAGTCTTTTTGAAGTTACTTTAAAATAGGGTGTATGTTTAACTGTGTTTCTTGATAAATCTTCAAATACCCAATCATCTGTTTTTATTTGACAGATTTTACATTGTTTAAATATTTTTACCGAGGTTCACTTTACTTTTTAGTTGTAATTTATGGAAGGCAGGGCGAAATCATTTTGGAAAAGAAAGTCATTACAAAACCATATATTTTATGATATTTTGCTTAATATTCTATCGTTTATTGATATAACAAGGGATATGCTATTGAACCGAAGGGTTTCTCGGCTTCCGATCAGTTATGCTTAGTTCTTAATATTCCAGATTTCACTTAGGCTTAAGATTATATATGCACAGCACCTTAACAAGAACAGAACAGACTTGTTTTAGTTTTAACATACACTGAAATTCTTGAATGTTGAAGGATATGTATAAACGAAATGATTTTATTGTTGAAACTTAAAGGGAAGATGGTGTTTTAGCCGAAACGGAATATGTTAGTTCAGTGTTTGTCTCCCAACGCCAACGGAGACCTGTATGCCATACTTACACCTACAGCCAGACTTTCTGACTTTCGGACTTAGACACAGCTCTCGGGCACTCGCTGCGTCATCAGGCAGTCCTTGATCGCATTTATGTTGATATTATCGTCCAGGTCCTGCGACGAGTTGCACGAAGTGGTGGCCGTCGTTGTGGCGGTCGCGTTGTTAGCCACACCCATGACGCCCATGACACTGCCAGTGCTGCCCAGCAGCAGGCTGGAGCCGGAGTGGTGCTGCTGCTGGTGGTGAGGCAGATGGAGCTGCTGATGCTGCTGCTGCTGCTGGTGGTGCTGATGCTGCTGGTGGTGGTGCCTGTTCAGGGTGGCGCTCGCTGCTCCAGGCGGATGGTGCAGCCTTCCACTGGCGTAGGCGTTCAGTATATAGCCCCCGCCACTGCCCAGGCCCGGGGGCAGTGTGCCCACCCCGCTGCTGTGCGCCGGCTGCAGATGCGCCGCCAGAGTGGCGGTCGAAGACAGCGAGGTGGGCGATCCGACCGCGCCCATTCCCATGCCCATCCTGCTGCCCAGGCTGCCCAGCATGCTGCTGCTGGGCGAGATGACGGTGCTGCTGCATCCGCCACCCGCTGCCGCCACAGCCGCCAGAAGCTGTGCCCGCTGCGCGTTGATTTGATTGTAGGTGACAGTCGCATTCGCCGCCTCGCTGGACAGCATTGCCGTCGTCAGGGGCACCACCTGCAGAAGAGAGAAGGGAAATCCAAGGTACACTCAAAGTCAAAAAGAGTTTTATTTCTACTTATTAGAGTATAGATTTTAATTAATATTAAAATAATTAATAATTATAACTAAAATTTATTATCAATAATTAAATATATATTATAACTACTCTATATATTTTATTATATATATTATAATATATATTTTATGTTTTCCAGTGCAAGGAATCTTTTCACTTTGAATTTTATCTGTTCAGGCACTTATTTTTATATATATGAAAATAAGTCATAAGACAAATGTACATCTATAATAATATTGTATAAATAAAACCTGCATTGAGGAGTGAATATGAAATAATTAATTAATTTGTTTTTTTTTTAAGCCTTTCTGTGCAGGATAAACATTTGACGAAAATCCATTAAATGAATGATCATGGAATTAAGTGAAATGATTGATATAAATAAAAAATAAATAAATTTAATGCATACAACATAATAAGAATCCATTTAAAAATACTAAAAATAAGAAATAACATTTTATTGCTTTGGCATATAAAAAAGTTAAGACTAGTTTTTCACCAAATAAGCCATTCCAACTCCCTAATATATATAATATATATACCATATACAACAACACTTTCAACACTTTCTTTTTAATTACATATTTAATACGAAATTTTAAATGAACTATAACTAATTATAGGCAGTCATTATTAAATTAAAATGCATACAAGATTTCTAGAATTTAGAGTTCCATGGACCTCTCTAGGCCCCCCGTAATTCAATTACCTTCGATGATTATGCTAAAACTCTTGTGTTTCAGTTAGAACGCTTAAAATGCAACGAAAAATTCTTTGTTATTTTCCGATTTTATTTTTCTGGGAGGCAGGCAAAGCGAAATGAAATTCTAATTGAAATCTCGACGCAATTTCCAGGTGCCGGAGTGAGAGGGGCTGCAAACTGGTATGTTCGGCTGTTATGGCTGGCAATATTTAAAATTATTTAATTAACGAATTGAGTTATGCTGCGATTGCCGGCTGCCCAGCATCAGGATTCGCCCGCCCGACCGCATTTTAAGCCCCCGACCGGAATGGTAATTTAAATGTAATTGAAATCTGCGCAGAAAATCCCATTTACAGAATGAAACAAAAATTCTCTTTTAGTTTAACTCCGGATCCGATTCGGGCTGGGATTCGGATTCTGATTCAGATTCGGGATTTGGATACTTTGTTATCGGTCAGGGGGGCTGTGTGCAGTGCGGCGTAGGCCGATTGGGGAACATGGGGGTGGAAAACCGCAGCGTTCGCTGATTTCCCAGCTACTTCTGTTTCGGTTTCGGCTTTTTTCTGCATTCCAAATTGGTTCGGTCCGGGCTGGAACGGGTGTGGGCTAATGTTTTTGGCCAGATTAGTGATATATATACATATATTCGCGGACTGGCAGTCAATTGGTCATGGCCGATGCATACGGCCATTTCCCGGCTCTAATCTCGTTCGCACAGCTTATGGTAATGGCTTTCGGGGATCTCGACCGTTGTCAACGAATAAAAGAGATATATACACATATATATTTGAATATTCATATGTGCCATATGCCTGCCAGGGCGGGGGCCAGCCCATAAATAAATTCTAATTGCGAACTTAATGAAATGAAAATAAATGTGTTTCGGTCGACACTCTAATCTCGAATGAATGGTCGTCGGACAAAAAATATTTTTAAAATAAAATCGGAGTGGTGGCGGATTTTAGAATGGTTTTTGCACAATTAATTCATCTTTTAAAAATTGAATTTCATCATAAAATTTAAAAACCTTTATGGTTTTGGCGAGCACATCAGGTGCATAACTCACATCGCCACACCTGTTGCCACTCTTGTAGCCACTCCATCCATCCATCAGCTGGAAAAGCAACCGAAAAATTTGCTGTAGCTAGACAAGACTTATTCACGGATTCGTGCTCAATGCGAGTGCCGGGCAAAATTGATTGATTACCGCCCACTCAATATGATATATTGTGTTTTAAAAATCTCACAATTACCCCAGAGCCCCCGGCTCCTAGCACGTTATCCTCTGATTTAGCCAATGGATTTTTATTTATAACCTGAGTGGCAGTGTGGCAAGGAGTGGGCAACGAACGAGTGGGAAATTCGAAGGAGCCGTGACAGTTTAAAAGCTTTTTTTAATACAGCCGGGTGTCCGGGGAGCTCTTGGCTTCTGACTGTGAAGTCCGAGACTGGCACCGTGCCGGAGCCGGAGTCTGGCACCGGCTACCCGGTTACCCGGGCCCCTGCTTAGCAATTTGACAATTTGAGTAGTTGATTGCTTTCAGTGCACCAGCCAGATTGCCAGGACAAAAGTGACATCGAGACTCACGAAGTCTGGGCGAAGTGGCCCAGTAAATACGAACCACAACTGACAACTGACAGACGTTAAACGGTCCAGCTGAACCAGCCAGGATTCATGGACAATCTGGACTACCTGGTTCTCCAGCGGACACGACACACTCACAGACAACGAACCGTTAGTTCGTTGGCAACAAAGCTTACCAAATCAAATTGCATTACGAAGACAATTGCAAGCAGCGTTTCATTGTCTTTCTTTCCATTCAACAAAAATTGAAAACCTTTTAATTATTTTGCAAACTATTCTTAGGTTTAACTAGCTCATTATTTATATATTATATTTGGTTGATAAATATAGTTAAATATTATATATATTTTTATTATTAAATAATGAATATTTGTAATGCCCAAAACGAGTAACTATCAGACGTTCTAATTCTCCAATATTTAGAAAGTGTTGCTAGGTATTTTATTATTTAATGCCTATATTTTCGTGTCAAGAGATTTTATTTTTAATTTTTAACTACGATTATAAAACAATTTTATAAAGTCTAACTAGTTCTTAATGTAATACTTCCCTCTTATAAAGGTAAAGGTAAGCTAGTAATTCCTGAGGGATAGTTTTATACTCACATTGCCATTGGGTGACCACTTGGCAACACCTGCCGCAGTTCCGCCACCCGCTGATGCGACTGTTGCAAACTGATGGACATCCGTGGCAGTGGCTCCTGCTATCGCTCCCGCTCCAGTTCCTGTGGATGCTCCTGCTGATGCTGACGCTGCTCCTCCTCCTGCTGCTGATGCTGCTGCCGTGGGGGCCACCACTGCGGTAGAGGTGCTGCTGCCCGTGGCGGTGCCGGCGGTGGTGCTGCCCACATTGGAGGCATTGCTGCCGCTGCTGCCGGCGCTGCTGCCGCCGACTGCTTGATTGAAATTTATTGATGAGCAGCCACGTTCGATTCATGGGAGGGCAGTGTTAGATTGGCGGGTTCCGTCGTTAAAATATTTACGGTTAAGGGGAAATTGCATTGGTTGATTGGATTGGATCGGTTTGGTTGGGTTTGTTTCGATTTTGGTTTGGCGACGGTCGTATTGTTGTTGTGTTGATGAGATTGATTACGATTGCGAGTCGCCAAAGAACAAAGAAGCCGGATGTGCAGAAAGCGAATTGCCATTGCGATTGCGGGACACATGAAAGTAAATGTCAGAAAAGTGGCCATAAAATTTGATTAAAGTTTAATGTCCGAAGTGCACACTAAAAAAGAGCAGAGTGGCGGACACTTGATTCACTTGACTGGCATTAAAAAAAAAATGAAAGCCACAATTGAGCGACTACTGGATACCCTACACAATGACAATGACTTAAGAGATGGATATCTAAACCATCACAAAATGTAGGATATATTTTGTATTATATAATTATAATTAAGACACCATCAATTTAATTAAAGTGGTGTAAAAACTGTAAATGAATCAACTTGGCTAAGCACTCCTGAGCCATGACTTAAGCAAGTGTGCCGCCATCAACTGTTTATAATCTTACCATATTGCGATGGTATTACGTCCGGATCACGTTCGTCCTCAACCAAATCCTCGGATGATTTCGTTTTTATGTCCGTGTGCTGCCATCGCGGCTTCTCCAAGTTGCCGCCCTGCGTGGAAAACATTCAACGACAAAATAATACGTACATTAATTGCTCGGATGGAAAATCCCATATCCAGCTCTCGCCATTCCAACTCACCTTGAAGACATCGCCTGGCTGTGCGGTTACTCCGGCGGTGGTGGCTTTTCCGCCATGATGACGATTCCGCCGCAAATTGTGCACAAATGTCACCACGAATATTCGTATCGCGATGGCGACACCAATAATTATGATGGTCAGGACACTGCCGACAATCACCGGCGACAATGTCAGTGTTACATCGTCGTCTATTTGTTGTTATTCGCGTAATTACAGGTTGACAATCGCCGTTCATAAATCATCATCGTGTTTTAGATAGATTGTCATCAAAGGCAACGCCAACGCCAACGGGAACGAGAACGAGAATGAGAATGACAACGCCATCGCAAACGCCATCGCAATAGCACATATCCACGCATCAAATTGATTGCCGATGGGAGTGGTAGTTAAGGCATTCGGTTCCGTCGGTTAAATTTGTCGGCAGTTGACGGTTTTATTTTTAGCGTAGAAAATTCACATGAAAATGAGAAGAGCAGAGAGCGCATGTATGTCAAGAGTTATAAGGGGAAGGAAGCCATGGGTAGGAAACGATTAATGATTAATTGGATGGGCAGACAGTGGAAGGAGTAGCCTTCAGCAGCCGAAATAAAGGCTCTTGAAATAGATTTGATTTGGATTTTAAGCTTTTTACATGTAAAATGCTATATATAGACTTGATACTCCATTTATTATTACATATTTGGTTTACTTAAGAGCAATAATATTTATAAGACCCACTGTTCAAAGTCTTGCTTGTCAAAAAGTAATTTTTCACATATTTTACGCCCTTGGATGATGGATGCCGGCTGCAGGCAGGCATTTTGATTGCGTAAGCACTGCAGATGACTGGCGGAGGAGCTCGCTCACCTGTCAGGTGTCACAGGCATAGGCCGGGACAGGGACAGGAACAGAGACAGGGAGAGGCACAGAGAACGAGGCCCATTTCCTGCATGGGATTAATGCAAGCAGGCAAATCATAGGCCAAAGAAGCCCAAATAATTCCCCATCTGATGAGAGAGTGAGCCGCTCGAGCGGCTTGTCAAAGGCACAGCCAGCCTCAGCATCCGACCATCATCCATCAATCAGGGCTGCGAATTGCCCGTTTTTCGGCGACGCCATTTGGCGGCTGGTAGTGCCACTCACCTGTCTTGTAAGCTGTTGAGCCAATTATGAAGTCGGGCAGGAGATAGGCGGCGCTGCGTCCCTTCTGGTTGTACGAGTAGATGCGCAGCCGGAGCGAGTTGTTCTCCTGTACCATCATCGAGGTCAGCGTGTCCAGGTTCTCCAGCGAAAAGAGAGCCTCCTCGGCGTTGCTCAAATTGAATCTGCGGAAAGGGATCAGCATCAGTATCAGCATCAGCATCAGCGTTATTGACAGTCAGGCCCAAGATGATTGCGAATTAAATCAAACGAAATGGCCAGGAAATCGACGGCATTAAGCCTTTAATCAAATGTGCGGACCGAACAGAAGCCAATGCCACAAATACTTTCTGGCACAGCCCCAGCCCCTTTCCATTGGCATTTTTACGGGTTTTTCGCTGGCATGTTTTCCTAACCCCAAGCACTTTTCCCGTCCTGAGATATGCGCTCTTTCCAATCATGACCTCAATTTGAATTTGATGCCGTTGCCGGCGAATTCGGCTATGCGGCTTTGACTTGTCTGCCCGGGAATCCTTTCCTTGAAAAGTTCTGAAATATTAGGGTTCGATGTCTATATTTATTTTGGCCAAACATTTGAACATTGATGGCGATGTTTGTTGCGTTTTCCGCTTCTCAATGTGGGTTTGATGTTTTCCTTTTTCCCTTTTTTTCGGTGTTTTGTTTTGCTTTGTTTTGATGATGTCTTTGTTTTTAATAAGAAATATTTATTAGATGCTGCCGCTCAGATATTCAGCCCGAATATTTGGCACAAATTTATGCGCAAGAAAATAAAACGGAATAAAGGCGACCCTCCCATAATGTTATGTGCGCATATGAATTTGATTTCCCATTTCCATAACATGTGCATACACACCATCCTATACACGTTTAATGCCCACTATGAATTCAATGGCTTGAGGGCCCATTTAAAGACAAACATTTCCTGCCCAAGAGCTGGCTGTTTCACGCCTAATTACACACCTGCACGGAGTGCTTTATACATATCCTATGAGGTGAAAGCACTTGAAGCCCACTTACGGGAACCACTGCTATCGCGTGCCTGCTGAGCCCGAACTATCTCTATTATTGAATAAAATGATGCTGGTACTCATGTCATTGTGGGAGGTGTCAGAACCAGACACATACTGCCGGGTGGTGTGGTTTCGGGGTGGAAAGGTGTTTAGCTAAACGCACAGCCGTGCTATCCTAAGGATAGGTTTTGATACTAATCAGGATACATTAACTACTTTAGCAGGTAATAATCTTAGGTGAGTTTATAAATCTCTTAGGAACTTAAAACAAATGTAAGTCTGACGATATAAAAAATTAAAAGAAATATAGAAAACATCCCACAAAAATGATTACAAATCAAAACAAACCCAATTCGAATGACAAGTTCCTAGCTGTGGAGCCAGCGCTGTGCTTCATTTGATTAAAGCCTTGTATATGGTCAATGTATATTACCCTCCCGGGGGCTAAGGCCCAAGGACACACATGAATGCGAATCGTGTATGCCTGAAACGATATGGAGCCATTTGTTTGACATATGCCCCATATCAGAGCCCGGGGTCAAGCGGGGGCTCACGGTCCCCGGACCGGACATAAGCGGCTTAAATCAAGACCCAACAGGGGCTGTGCAGGGAGGGCCACTGGCCACCACTGGCCACTGGCCCCGGATATGGGCGTTGGCAGTTGTAGTTATAGTTGATTAATATGCTTACCTGGTGATGCCGGTGCGTGTTGAAAACATTTCGAGCACAAATATTTGCGGCAGGCCCCCGTCATAGCCCGGTATGCACTGGATGTCAACACTGAGCTCGGTGCGGTTAAAGACGGTACAGTTGCTGACGGCGTTCGGCAGGGCTGACATCGGAATCAGAATTGAAATCGGAGTCAAATGGGATTGCAGTCCGCACACACGCCCAGGCACATCCACATATCGCCATCGAGGAATCAGATTTATGTTGGGCCCCGTTACGCAGGAAATTAACAAGCAGCAGCAGCGGTAACCAGAAACCAGGAAAAGACAAAAGGGGAGTCATGATCATTTGTTCTTTTTCAGCATGGAATCCGTTCCCTCCCGTTCCGTCTCGTCCCTCGAGCTGCCTCGGAGCGCCCCCAAACTGCACAAACCATCTCTGATTTTGCTGGTTTTGGGTATGGGAACTGTGGTCTGTCTGTTTGACCGTCCGGATGTTTGCCCCCAGGTGGAGTTCTGGCCCAGTGTCTGTGTTTGCATGCGGCATTAACATGTTAAGGTCAAATTGCACGTAATGAAGCAACGACAAGCACAACCGACGACAAGGCAAGCCCCGTAAGGATCTCGTTTACGTTCATGCGTGGATTTATCCTGACATAAAGGAGCCTTACTCGAATGGAACAATTCCTTAATGAAGGTGAAGAGCATTATTAAGAGAGTACCTTGGATTATGAGACAATCACAAGTATTATAGTATAGAGAAGTTCTGTTTTTTTAAGACAGATTTTTGCGTATTCCTAACCAGTTTTTTAGCTTCTTCAATTGGCATTACAAAATTTTAAAAATGTAGTAAAATGTGATCACAAATTACTTATGATTTTATAGCATATTTGTGTAAGAAAATAAATTCTTTAAATATCAAAAACATTGACAATAAAACTTTACAATGGAATCCTTAATGTCTCGATAATTGTAATTTTTTCCACATTTTGTGCTCTGCATAACCGCTCAGACTGAAGCTCTTTCTGGTTGGCAAAAACTTCCCAATCCCCTCCCATACCCACTGACACTTACCGGCTAGCACTACTTGGAAGAGGCAGGGATGCTGCTGGGTGCCCACCTCGTTGGATGCCCAGCAGGACAGTGTGCCATAATCCTGCAAATACATATTTATTTATTATTTAAAATGCGGCTCTTGCTTAATTGCCCGGAGCTGACTTCGGTCCCCACTGTGGACACACTATATATATCCTATATGTAGATATATATATAGGACGGCCGCGAATCGGAGTGTTTACCTGATCTGTGACCGGTGTGTACTTTAAAATGCTGCGGCTGCCGTTCACGCTGAAGCGCTCGCTTCCCACGTCCAGAGTTTCGCCCGAGTTGTTGAATTTCCAGCGAAATGTCCTGCAAAATGTTCGGGCACATGTGTGAGTAAGTTGCGTTAACATTTTGACAGAAGTGTGTGTGTGCAGGAGGCAGTCGGAGCGACAGCAGTGAAAAAGGACAGGTAACGCGGGGACAAGAGGACATGGGCAGGAGCCGGCGAGTGAAGCATGTTTGCGAAGTTTTCCATTTTTAAAATAGCTCGTTAAAATATTAAAGGTTAAACGCAGACACACCCACACACGCTGATCGGAGGCCGTAGCGGAAGGAGTCCTGCTGTCCCTGAGACAGCAACTCGCACACTGGAAGCCTTTTAAAAGGTTAATTATCTCTGGCATATTCGGTCGGACGCTTTCGCATCTTGGCAGTGCAAAAATAAACGTAAATCAATAAAAACAGAAATCCATTTAAAAATCGACAAGGGGAGAAAGGTAAATGAATCAACGAGAGACAGAAAATATGGTGGCCGAAGGAGAGATACTTTAAAGCGAAAGCAGTCGATGTCAACATTGTTAAGTTTGATATTAATGTAATGTATTACATTTAGTTTAAATTGGTTTTATTTACATGCGCGTAATATTTACATCATACAAAAAAACATTTAAATTAGAGATATTGTTATTTGATCCATTCATTTCCAAGGACCTCTGCAACATAGATCAATGGAATTAACTTAATCGGAGTCCGAGCTGCTGGTGCTGCTTGCCTGTAAATTAAAACCATAGTGATACACAGTGATCAGTGCTATTGATGACTTGAACTTACGTCTTCGGCATCTACCTTATAGGGGCATCCACGGTTGACTTCAGGAATCGGAAGAGTAGGATTAACAGCTTTTTCCCTCTGTTTTTTCATCTCCTCAGCTACCACTACACGAGCCAATGCCTTTTTATTGTCCACCAGCTTCTTGATCTCTACCAATTTGCTTTCAAACAGCGACCTGGCCTGCATCATGGTTGAACCAATGAGTCCATCTTCCGGGAAGCTGCTCGAACCATCTCGGAACATCTGATGAACCAAGGCAACGAAGCTATCAATGCTCTCAAAATCATTCGATTCAAGCAGCTTTATCAGTATGAACCAATCAAGGCTCTTCTCGGGGACATAAAAACTGTCTGAGAATTCCTCCCAGAGATCTGCGCGATTGAAGGGCCATGTAATATGGCGGTTTCTCGGAGCCACCATAATCTGTAGCAGCGCCTTACAGTAGTTTTTCTCGATATTTCTGTCTAAATCTTTATAGCAAATCTTAGGGGAACCTGCTCCGATTTTTTGAGCTTTAGGGGCACTCAGGGCTGGTGGGATCTTATATGGATTTCTGTTGCCACTTCGGCGTCCCTCCTCTTCCAGCTTCTTAAGCTCCTGTGCCACTGTAACCCGAGCCAACTCCTTTCTAGCGTTAACCTCTTTCTTGATCTTTACTAGCGTGATATCAAACAGCAAGTTGGTGTCCTTCATGGTCGAATTAACCAGTCCTTCTTCCGGGAAGCTGCGCAAACCATCTTGAAACATCTGCTGAATCAAGCCAACGAAGCTATCCATACTATCAAATTCCTCAGAGTTGAGGTGCTCCTCCAGTTTGGACCAATCCAAGTCCCTTTCGGGGACATGCTTACTGTCCGAGAAAAAATTTCGTAGGTCTGCGCGATTGAAGGGCCAAGTGATTTTGCGATTCTGCCAGTGCGTCATTGTGGTCAGCAGCGTTTTGCAGCAGCTCTGCTCGATATCCTTGTCCACCTTTTTATAGCAAATTTTCGGGGGCGGCGGCGGTGGGGGTGGTGGTGGCGGTGGCGGCGGCGGGTGTGGCGACTGTGGTGGTGGTAGTGGCGGTGGCATTGCTTTCCGCAAAGTTGGAGGCACCGAAATCGCCGATAAGACAGGGATGGGGTTATTATTAAAGGTTACACCAGGAAAGGAATTTTTAGACCGAGCCTGAGGCGCCGCAGGTGTTGCCTGCTTCCGCTTTCCCCCCTTCACGGGCACCTCCTCCTCGTTGGTTAAATCGATTGAGGCTAGGCGTTTGTGGTAACATTTCTTCAGCTCCAAGCCCGACTTGTGGACCGCAGTGCCTTCCTTGTTGAACAGCAAGCAGTTCTCAAAGACAAGCTTCACGTCCTCCAGAGCCTCCTTCGCCTGGTAATAGTAGTTGTTGGCCAGCCGCTTCTTGATTGTGCCCAGGTCCATTGGCCGCTTGATCAGTAAGTGATAGTCGGGCACACCTAAGGCGTTCGAATCCACGGGCTTGAGGAAAGGGGATGCCCAACGCGTTCTCCAGATGGAAGTCAGCACTTTCTTGATGGCGTCCATGACGTTAGTTCTGCGACCCGGTCGATTCGGTGGGGGAAAGACCGGCGGCTGGACAATTCCATTCACCGGTTGCAGCACCGGTGTCCTGCGAGGCTCTGGCACCTTTAATTTGTTAAAAGGAGCCATTTTTTTTTCATTGGACTGCAATGTCAGCACAACAAATTAATAAAGAATAAAAAAGTTAAAAACACAAAAATAAAAGCACTTTTTACTCACTTAGCTCACTTTTTTTTAACTAGCTTAATTAATAATTCACAGCACACAACCTTTCGCTTGGAAAACCGAAGTAAAGTAAGCTTTCTGCTTTGTCGAGACTCAAAAGGTGATTTTTTATGTCACGTTGATGTTTATGAAAGGTTTTGACGTCTAAAATTGCGTTGAAGCTTATGTCAGAGGTAATCTTGATGGAAAATATAATTTTTTCGATGCTACACAAACATTTGCCATTCACCTCGAAGACTTATATACCCCAAAATATCGATTATTATGAAACATGATACAAGAATCATGTATCATGTTATGAATTTTTGTCTTTTCTAATACTTATATATTATTTCTTATTGTTTTTGACATTATTATTTGTCTTTGTATTGTGATAAATATAAAACTGGTAACATGAAATCTGAAATAAGTTGATTAATTTCGATGGACACGGGGTTAACATCATTCTAGCTTTGCAAATAAAATATAAATATATATATATATTGTCGGTAAGCTGCTCGCGCCATTCACACGTCGCCGAATAATGTATTTCGTATAATCGTATTTAATTATAATAGATTTAAATTAAATTTGGTTTGCAGTTTTTCCTATTTCGTTTTGTTAAAAATCAGCTTACCTATGCACTTTAAATTCTTGAAATAAATTCTGCAAACATTTTGATTAAATTCTAATGCATTACCGTGTGCCTGTGGTAATACATTTTTTACCCCGCCGCTTGTCAGGCGTTTAAATGCTGATAAATTAACTTGTCGCCCCACAGCACTATGGGGTTTTTGACCAGTTTTTGTGGCATTAATTAATAACTCGATCAGTTTTGAAGATATCGACATGAAGCTTTACCAATCATCATTATTTGTCCCTAGGCACATATAGTATGAAAATCGTTCGGATCAGGAAACTATATCCTATAGCTCCCATAGGAACGATCGGGTAAAAGTAAAGATAAATTAATGAAATTTAAGGAGCTTATATTTGTTGCTATTTTAACACGATATAGCAATTTTGAACAAAATCGGACAACTCTTTCCCTAGGAACCAAAATAACCAAAATACCGGAAATCAGGGTTTTTCCATACAAACAGCTACCAAATTGGCTCTGAAAACAGTGAGGTTATCTGAGAAAAATTCAAATTGCTACAAAAGTGCGGAAAAGTGCACGATAAGACTAACTGCTTTTTGCTCAGAATTGACAACGCTACAACATACACTTGGACGCATTGAAAACTAATGCGAACTTCTATTTCAAAACTCTTCCCAAAGTTTAAATTTGTTTCTCAAAATTCAGCTTAAGGTGCATTTATAAAATGACAAAATGTCAGTATAAACACGCACAATTTAAACAATTAATACCTTTAACATGTAGTTAAAACCTGTGAAATCAGTGTCCATTAGTTTTTTCCTTTGCAAATTGTGTCTTACACGAATAGTTTAATTTCAAAGATCACTTCGTAAAAATTACAAACTTAGCAGACGTGCTTTTGGATGCAACAGCTGACTTTACAGCTCTGTTGCTAACATATGCTGTTAAGTATTAACATTTTGAGTATGAGGCATAACAGTTCGATGTTTTGTTAATACAATCCCACTATTTTTTTTTTAATTTAAGAACTTTTAAAAAATGATTAAATGCCACAAAAAGTGGTCAAAAACCCCATAGTGCACAGGCCCCCTGAGACCCACCCCCGGGGGGGGGAGAGCCTAAAAGCTGGCAGCAGCTTTTTAATGTTCGCGCGATGCGCCCAGCCAGCTCTCCCGATACTTTTTCCAGCAAAACAGCAGCCCCAACAATTACACGGCGCCGCAGCTGCTCTCGCCACGGTCTCAGTCTCAGGCGCGGCCTCGGCCTCGGCCTCGCATATTTTCCGCCGGCTAATGATTAATTATTTTAGCATAAAGCGTCAGCTCAAGACACAGCACAGCGGCGGCAACAAAAAACGAAATTAAATACAAAACAAGACGCACTCGGACTGGCAGGACTAAGGAAGAGTGGCAGCTGGCCGGGACGTCGGGGCTCGGTGGTGTGGCCTCATTAAAAAAACATTAAAGTGGGCAATGGGCAACATTCCCGCTGACCGGCTAAGTCTCTGACTCAAAGTCAGTTGCACATTTAAAATGAATTAAAATCAACAATTTAAAGTCCAAAAAGAACGACAAACAAAGCTGGGATAAAAGCGAAAATCTCAAGGAATGAAAGTAAGGAAAAACACAAACAAGCACAGAAACAAAAAAGGAAATATTGTTAAATTTTCTCACATTTCCTACAAAATAAACAGCACTTTCCGTTCAGCACACAAACACACACGCCAACGCACACAATCACAATCATTTGTCAATTTTCAAACTTCCTTTCAACAGGAAACCGGAAGCAATCGCCTACAACGCAGCAAAAACCTTTATGAGGAATTGTGCGGAGCACAAGGAGGAGGAGAAGAAGCTGGGTCTAGGACATGGATGTGGGATAAACAGGAAGCTCTTTAGATCCTTCATTGGAACTTACCGTGGCGGGGGATCGGCCTGAATCTCGCACACAACCTCAACGGTCTCGTCCTTTGAGGCACCAATTAATATCACGCGGTCGGAGTGCTTGCAAATGGGTGTATCTGTAATTAAGGTATTTCAATTAATTTTTAATAAATTCAAAAGATGTATAACAAAGGGATACATTTTATAAAAAATTAATTAGAACAAGAATGGTGTAAAACCATGCTAAATATAAATTGTTTTAAATATTACTGAGTTTACATTTTAATCTCAAATGTTAAATCCACAGAGAACTTCTAGTGTAAAAGATGATTTTAGCAGTTAAAAGAAAAATCCAAAAGCCTTAAAAATTTTATATAGAATCCCTAGAAATTTATCCAGCGGAAATCGAAGATAAACCGACACCAGTGAAATGGCACAACGTGGTCGTAAAACGAAACATTTCAGCTTTCTATCACCTGTTGAATGACAAGCCAGATGCCTTATCAGCTGTAGGACATTAAAATGTTCTCAAAATCGGTGGAAAACGAGCCCAAGTATTTGGTTTGTGTGTGGGCGTGGCAGGTGAAAAACGCACAAAAGTGATTTAGACAGCAGGGACCCTCGGAGGGCGTGACGCCTCCGCATTAGTCAGTCAGGGCGAAAGGGACGAACAGGACGAAGGGGAGGCAGGACGGCGTGGCAGGGCCCATGTCTCCTTTACGGGGAATTAATTAATGTGGCAACATGATTTAGTACTTCCCAGTTAAATAGGCGTTCCATAAATGTTAAAGGATTATTAGCTGACAGCACACGTGGCGTATGCGTAATTTGCTGTCGTCGGTGAGTCCTTCAAACTGACTTTCACCCCCAAGCCCACTTGGCACAACTTGAATTTCTGATGAATTGTTTATCTTCAAAAATGTACACAAAAACCAAGGGGGCGTAATTAATTAGCCGGAAAATTACGCCCAATTTTGGGCATCCAGCTGATGTTGTTGCTGCTAACATTTGCATTATACTTTCTGGGGGGAAGAGAGGAGCGAAAGGGAAGTATGTGGTGTGATTACTGGCCGCTTTACTAATTAAGCAGTTCTTAAGCGACAGAGAGGACTGGTGTGGGGTAAATGAGCTGACCTACTTGGTGGGATTATGAAAGGAATTCAATGAGGTTCTCGGTGGGCAATTCCCTGGACAAAAGCAACAAGTTGGGGCCCCCGCAAATGTGGTTTTTGTCATCAAAGCTAAAGGTAATTTCAGCCAAATTACGACTCATTATAATTCCCTTTCATCTATTCCTCGATAATGTGCAAGTAAATTATTTGGATTATGGTAATTTCCTGCACTTTTACCAAGAATGATTTTCACTAAAATTTATTATATTCCGTTCTCAAGGAAACTCTTTAAAAAGCCCCGATTTGCTAGATCCTTTCCAGATTTTGTACCAATTCGTACTTTATAATGAAGCAGATATCTGGATTTTTCTCAGTGGATCAGATATACACGAAGATATGAGTAGAACATCATCCCGACCCTGCAATGGCGGCGCACTCCATCTAATTTATGGTTCACAGCCATGCTCCTGTCAAAATGTGAGTGCCTGGGTGCAAAGGACTTCAGCCGGAGCAGCAATTTGTACGGCTCAAGCGGAAAATGCTGGGAAGTTGCGGAAAAGCCAGTGCAGCAGCAGCTACATGTGTATCGCTCGCAAGCAGGCTAAGCAACTACCCCGGCTCATCATCCTCCTCATCAGGCCGGGCGTCTGTCAAACTGCTTAAATTTAAGCCGCGGCTAGGCGGGAGGAGGCGGAGCATGCGGCGAACGATGTGATGCCTCATAAGTTGCAACATTTCGCGGGCTGTTAAATTGAAGCACAATTCCTCCGGCAGTTGCAGCTGCGATGAAATATGGCCAAAGCCAACGCATGTGGCAAGCATATGAAAGCGAAGCAACGCTGGCAGACAAACGAAGCCGAGCAAAATGTTGTATTTATGCAAAAAGCGGAATGAAAAATATTTTTTTCCAGCCTTGACGTGCAACTGCGCCAAGACTCCGGACGGAGCTCAGCAGAAAATGGAAGGGGGGGAAAAAATAAATAAGAGCAGCCAGCAGAAGAAAAACGCAAATTGCAATACATCAAATGAGTCGTGGATGCGGGCCGGGAGTATATTCGGGGCCCGGCTGCGACGGCTGCAGCCCTGACTTTATGATAAGAAAACAGACGAGCTCCGGCTCCGAGTGGCAGGCACTATTCCGGGGGAGGCGGAGCGACACTGCCAGATAGATGATGCATTCAAACAAAGTGCCGCTTGGCAAATTTATGCTTAAAATCGCTGACACATCACAGCGCTCGAGTGGAGCAGGATTTCTGTTTAAACAGAAACAGTCTTCCTAGGAGGCAAAGGACACGAAAAAGTCAAAGCTGTGAGCACTCAACTAAGTGCACTTTCATAGATTTCAAGATTTTAGAACGTGGAAGAAGGAATTCAATCCAATTTACTGATCATGGGAGGGGTTTTATTTATATATCTTACATTTTCTGATTGTATATCTTATATATTATTTAATTTATTTGTAGATACTACTTACACTTCACCCTCAGAGGCAGCTGATTGCTGACCGTCTCGCCCTCGTCGTTGATGGCACTGCAGGCATAATTACCGGCATAGTGCTTTGTGATCTTCTGAAGGACCAGGCTCTGGTTTGAACGAATTACTCTGGCGGATGTATTATGCTCCAGATGAATGCCCTAATAGAAAAGATATTTAATTTGGACATTATATATATTATTAACAAAAGCAAGCAAATAAGAACCAAACATTTATTTAGTTAATATATGATATTGTCCCTGATTTTGAAACGCCTCTTCTCCTGTTTTAATTGAGCATTTTATAATATAACTTGGTTTATAAACTGAGACTTCCTTAAAATTACTCACAATTAGTTTTCCAAACTAATTTAATATTCTCAGAATTTAAACTTTTGCGTACACTAGTGTGTTGGTAAATCAGATAATCTATACATAAATCACAAATAATACTGTAATGGATCAACCAGCTTTTACTGCTCCCAACTATAATCCGGTCCAAAATCGCTGGAGTTCGAAATTCAATTTGACAAAATCCGCTAAAATTCAGTGCCACACGCGCAAACATTGTCTCCCCGGGCAGGATGTGGAGTGGGAACTTGGCCTGAGTGATTGCCAAGCGAATGCGGACTGCAGTTGAGCGACGGCAAAATCAATGCCGCAAATCCCAAAACTATTTTACCCCAAAATGGCATATCCCAGGACCACCCCCAAACCGCCTCGCACACAAGCGGACAGACCACGGGAATTGAAATGAGCAAATGCAGCGCATCCGAGATCCCGTACATCAGGACATCATCGACGGCGACTCCCTGAGCAGCCACCTCAACGCATACGCAACCTGCCATGTTATTGACACTTGAACAGAAATGAATGCAAGGAGTCAGCCAAGCAGACAGCCCGGTATGCCTTTTAGTGGTTTGGCTTGGGACGGATCCGAGTGGATTGGACTGGATCCCATCGCCCGACTCCTGCCGACCCGTGGTGCGACCTACATTATGCAGCCACAACAGTTTCCGCCATTGAGGATTCGATTGTACGTGACACTCGAAGTAAACATCGTCGCCTTCCTTGATATCATCCGGTGTCAGAGTAGAGCCCAGGCGTAACGTCACCAGAGGTGGATCTGCAAAGAGGAACGAGAAAGCAAGTTAATTAGTCATGTACTGGTCTGCGGTGAGAAAATCGTAGTCGGTAGATTTTCCTTTAGCCTAAGGGTATATTAGCTGCACTTCCTGTTTTTTCCTTGACTCTTTTAGTAGGTCCCTCACCATAAATAGCGCTTAATAGCTTGTTGATACTAGTGACTTTGCTCTTTCTATCTGGTTATTGGACAAAAATTCAAGAGATCTAGTATGGCTTCACTCATCATGAAAATATCTTCATAATTACATACATTTTAAGATTGAAAAAAAAGCAAAGGTTAACCATCAATTTCTCAAGAATCATATACGTATTCTGTACACCTTTGCTTATCTTAAACGCAAATGCTGCTATTCACGGTCTTCTGGCGTACATAATCTGTCCCCTGTACTATTCTGTCATTGCCCAACTGCCGTGATCAAGCTGATTTAATAGTTTTTGCAAATATGAGCGATTTAGAGCAATAACGGCAGCGAAGTGAGGCAGCAGCCAAGAGTTATGACGACACAGCACCGACATCCGCCCATCGACCGCTGTTTGCCAACATGTGTTGCCGCTTAAGTCGTTTGAATTTGCTTAACGAGCCACAAACTTTGCGACAAACAGAGACCAACAGCAGCAAGGACCCGAGCAAGGAGCCAGAACCAAGCCCGGAAAGGGACCAGGACCAGGGCCAAGCTAAGGATCGGGACAAGCTTCAGAATGGGAACGGGCCGCACGTGCCAACCTTAATATTGCTGAGTTATTGGCGGACAAAACCAAGCGCCAACAGTCAAGAGTTGGCCAAACCCAAGCCCAAGCCCAAGCCAAAAAGTTCCCTTCCGCCTGCTGAAAACTTTAGAATGGCCTGGAAAAGTTTTGCCAGGCACGGGTGGTACTTTCCGCTCTTCCTTCGACGAAGGTCCGCTGCTCCGACGGGCGTCTGCCAATCAGGAAAAGTGCCCAAAGGGCTGCGAAAACTCTTTTGGTGGAAAAGTCGCGCCGCGTATTTCCGCACACATGTTGCAGGCCATTTTTGTGATTATCATTTACCGTTCCCCCACAAAATACCACCACCCTTCGCCATCGCCTTCTTCCGACCATTTTCCTTTCCCTTCGATCGATGGCGGAGCGGAAGTCAACGGTTGCCCGGAATTTATGTGCCAGCAAAGGCTGTTGGATTATGGCAACTGCCTCGCGGGATTTGCCAGAGCTTTAAAGCATGTCAATATTAAAGGTGTGTCGAAACTAAAGAAGCATAAATATATGATGGAAAAAATCAAGGTAAAGATTCTGTACAAGTCCCCACAGATTTCCTTGAGCCTTATTCAAATACTCAGAAATTGAAACTTGAAAGTTTGAACCACTTTTTGTGACCTATCGACTACCAAAAAGTCCCTCACATGCAACCCTAAAAACTTAACTTAAAATTAAAATGTTATTTCATTAGTTATATAAAGCAGTCGCTGATTTAAGTTTCAAACATTAATCATAACAGTTTTTATGACATTTTTGGCTAATTGATTAAGTAGGCAGTGAACATTTTCTGAAAAGTCGATGTCCCCCAGGTCACCAGAATGTTTCTCAGTCTCTGACTAGATTTTCAACAAGACGGTTAAAAAAAGAACAACAAAAAAGTGAACAAAGTAAATAAAGAAATTAAAGTGCTAAAACAACAACATTAAGTTAAAAAATAAAAATAAAGATTAAGTCGACAAAATTATAAAAATATCCAAAATGAAGGTAACGCAGGACCAAGGAGTTGGTAAAAAATCCAAGTCGGCTCGTAAAAGAGCTTCCCAAAGGAAGCAGAAGTCGACGCCCAATCCAGAAGGTGCTAGCACCTCCCAGGATTTGCCAAAGCAATCGACCCATGATTTTACTGTGATTCCGCAGTGGAACCCGGGTGGCAATTCAGATGCCCATCATATCCCAAAAGGAACGAAGGACGACCCATCGCCATCAACGTCAAAGCATTCAAGTTCCAACAAAAAAAGATCACGTTCATCGCGCAAAAATCTAAATACAGAAAAGTCGCAAGACGGATCTCTTCAATCTCATGATCAATATGGATTGGCTAAAAATGCTGGTCCACCACAGCGCCAAATAGACCCAAAAAAAGAGAAAACGGAAAAGCAAGACCTCGAGTCACCTACTCCGGTGGTTTCCCGCAGGTCCAGAAAAAAGAAAAATAATGCCGGTAAGAATATTTCCACTAATTGGAATCGAGCATCTTAGTTAATCATTAGACTTCGTTAAAGGATCGATTTCGAGCACCCAATCCAATTTCTTTAAAGAGGTAGTGGATGTTAACGTCCCTAACAAGTCCAGTAAGAAAGCGACCAATGGTAAATATATTTTTTGTTTAACACAAATTGATTCCATTATAGAGCTGATGCTTAAGCTACTCCTAGTTTAGAACTAATTTGTCTTAATTAAATAAATACATTATTTCCCTATAGAGCCGAACTTGACGATCAAATTTAATCCTCACAAGGCTATCAAGAAGGAAGCAAAAAGCCCCCAGAAGGGCTTACAAACGTCCAGGAAGAAGGCTACCGGTAAGGATTTTTAATTAAGATGGTTAAGTCTCCGCATTTACATTAATTGCTTTCATAACAGATTCAAACTCGTCGGTCAATTGGAATGCCAACAAGAATGCCAAAAGTGAAGTGAAACCCTTTGAATTACCTGTTCAATGCGGCTCCCAAAAGCCTAAGAAGATGGCTTCCAGTAATGAGACAAACTCGAACAAAGTGGCTACCGGTAAGGATTTTTCAAACAAGCCTCGCATATCCACCAAATGATTTTTTTATAGCAGCTCCATCAGCAACAAACTCACACACCAAATTCCATCCTAACCAGATCGGAGTTAGGGGGCCGCCTACTCATTTGGGGGGCCAAGGCATGAGGAAATTTGTTCCTGGTAAGAAAATTTACACTCCATGTCCACCAATATCATCCAATATCATTTTAGAGTTCAACAATTGTTTCAACTTTAATGCGAAAAAGAATATCGAACGGCAGGATTGCCCCACCCACTGTCAACAACCGGAGATAACTAACCAATTTGATCGAAATAAATGCATTACCAGCCAATGCGATCCGAACCTGGTCATTAAAGAGGAAGTTAAGGAAGAGTTATCTATCAAAGAGGAAATTCAAGACCCAGAGACACCTCATTATATTTCCAGCCAATTCAATCCCAACATAACTATCGAAGGGAATGTTCAAGACCCAGAGTCATCTTATCAATCTTCTCCCACTCAATCCGATACCAACCGTCCCATTGAAAGTGAAAATTGTGTCCCTAATATACCTCTTTGGTATGACAGCCAAAATTCCAATATATTGCCCACTCGAAGTACGGATGCGGACGACTCGTGGGCCAATTTGAGTCTAAACATGTTTGATGTGGAACAAGTGGTGGACACCCATGAGTTCTTCGCCGGTGACTCCACCGTAGGTAATAATTCGATGACCAACGTTTGGGAGCTTACGTGTCAGGCCGGAGACCAAGCCAGGTGCTCAAATCAAAACGCATATCAGCAGGCACAGAATAACGACTCTGGCTTCGTAGATCGGAATATGACAAGCCAGTATGATTTCGCAGACAATCAAGACAGTCTGAGCTTCGATGTCGTCTACGGTCAATATGCACAATTTGGATCCAAGAACGAAGCCAGTTACAACAGTGAGGAAGCCGCCATGGATGCGCGCTTTGAGGCTGAACTGGATTCGTTATTTGAAAGTTTGGATACAGCACCAATGCCCGAGCCGGAGAAGAATGACCCACCCACAAAAACTGAGGCTGAAATGGACGCTCGTCTGCAGGCGGAACTCGATTCCTTACCGTTTATTGAGGCACCTGTCGAGGCACTTGTCGAGCCACCTGTGGAGGCTGACAACTATGTGGATGACCTGATTAGCACGTTTCTAAATCCTGGACAGCAGGCAGAGCAACCAAGCAATGCAGTGCCCAATCAGGCACCTGTGGAGGCCGACAACTATATGGATGACCTGTTTAGCACGTTTCTAAATCTTGGACAGCAGGCAGAGCAGCCAAGTAATGCAGTCCCCAATCAGGTACTTCCCCTAAGCAATGTGCCCACAGCTCCTACGACCGTTGCGCCGACCAAGAACCTCAAGGTGCTCAATCCTGGAACTTTTCAGAAGACCGCTCAGCAGCCAATGGCTAGAAAGCAGCAGCAGCGCCCCTTGTCTCAAGTACCGATGGTCGCACAAGTAACTGGACTTCAGGGGCAGGTTGTGTCTCTGACCTATACCACTGCCCCAGACGGGCTCGTCACCAGTGTGTCCGCTACATCCCCAGAAACGCCACTTGCTCAGGAGCTGCAGAGTCTAACGGCCAGCCAAATGCACCAGATATTGCAGAGTGCACAGCCCTATTTGGCCCTGCCGATGATAGTGCCCGGTGGTCAGGAAGCGGGGGAGCTCGGGCTCAAGGATGCAGCCGGTATCGTCGCGCCAACTGGGCAGGCTGTCGAGGACGAGGAGGTCGACTACGAAGAAATTGGAGTGGCCGACACCTTTGCGGAATATTGGCCCAGTAAGCTAAAGTTCGGAATGTCTCATCCGGATCCAGTGGTGGAGACGGCGACGCTTTCCTCGGTGGAGCTGCCCGACATCACCTATGAGCTGGCATTGAGCCCGAGAACCACCAGCTGCCTGAGTGCTCTTCAACTGGAGGCGGTAATTTACGCCTGCCAGGCTCACGAGCAGATCCTGCCCAGCGGTGAGCGTGCCGGCTTTTTGCTCGGCGACGGAGCCGGAGTGGGCAAGGGCAGGACCATTGCCGGAATTATTTTCGACAACTATATGAAGGGAAGAAAGCGGGCCCTCTGGGTCTCTGTTTCCAATGACTTAAAGTTTGATGCCGAACGCGATCTGCATGACATCGGAGCCGACGACAAGGTCAAGGTGGTGGCCATCAACAGGTTCAAGTACAGCCGCATAGACTCCGACGAAAACGAGAACTTCACGAAGGGAGTGATATTTTGCACATACACAGCGCTCATCGGCGAATCCCAGACTTCCAACTCCAAGTACAAGACTCGACTGCGCCAGTTGGTTAGCTGGCTTGGCAAGAAGTTCGACGGGGTAATAGTCTTTGACGAGTGCCACAAAGCCAAGAACCTAAGCCTGATGAACGTGGGCAAGTCCACGAAGACTGGCACTACTGTGCTGGACCTGCAGAAGCTACTGCCACAGGCACGAGTGGTCTACGCCTCGGCCACGGGAGCCAGCGAGCCCAGGAACATGGCCTATATGGTGCGGCTGGGTCTTTGGGGCCCTGGCACCGCCTACTCGGAGTTCTTCGAGTTCGTGAATGCCGTGGAGAAGCGTGGCATCGGAGCGATGGAGATCGTGGCCATGGACATGAAACTCAGGGGCACCTATATTGCGCGCCAGCTTAGCTTTAAGGACGTGACCTTTCGCATTGAGGAGGTGCCCATGTCAAGGGAGTCCAGAAAGACTTACAATCTCGCCGCCGAGCTGTGGGCGGAAATCAACAAGAAGTTCATAAAAGCGTGTCGCCTGATGTGCATCGAAAACCGGGTGCAGAAGATCATCACTTGCCAGTTCTGGTGCGCTCATCAGCGGTTCTTTAAGAACCTGTGCATCGCCTCTAAGGTGAATCACGTCGTCAGGATGACGCGACAGGCCACGCGAATGGGCAAGGCGGTGGTCATTGGACTGCAGTCAACTGGAGAATCGCGCACCCTCGAACACCTCGAGCGGCACAACGGCAGGCTGACCTCTTTTGTTTCCACCTCCAAGATGATCATCCAATCCTTCGTGGAGAAGCACTTTCCGGCACCCAAACGGGACTCTTTTCACCGTTTGCTCAACACGGGCGAGTTTGAGCCTGAGCCCCGATACCGTCCGCCGCGATCCAAGAAGGCCAAGATGAGTGCCGACTGGTTCGACGACGACATGGATGCCGAGGCGGAAGATAGCGATATCGAAATGTACGAGAGCAACGATGACGATGACCGTCTCAAGGCGGGACGAAAGAGGCGAGGACGACCGCCCAAGACGGAAAAGGGTGAGCTTTTTTTTTGTAAATACAATTTATCCATCTACTAATTCACACTTCTTCCCCGTGCAGCTGAAAAGATAACCATGCAGGAGCGGATTCTCCAGCATCTGTGCAACAATATGCGAGCCCAGGACAACGATAACGATGCTACTTACACCTTCGACAACACAAAGATGCAGAAGGCCAACATCACCGAGCACGATGTGGAGCGGTGCATCAGGGCAAGAGAGATGCTTTTGGACAAGATTGAGGTCCTGGGTCGGCGCATGCCCTCCAACACGCTAGACAAGCTCATCTCGGAGTTGGGCGGCACCAAGCTGGTGGCCGAAATGACCGGCCGCCGAGGCAGAGTGGTCCGCACGGAGTACGACGGCTTCAAGTACGAGCCGCGCTGTGAGAACGACACCTCAATGGACCTGGTGAACTACCGGGAGAAGCAACGGTTCATGGTCGGCGCCAAGCATGTGGCCATCATCTCCGAGGCGGCCTCCAGCGGAATTTCGCTGCAGAGCGACAAGCGTGTGTCCAATCAGCGGCGACGCCTTCACATCACCCTGGAGCTGCCGTGGAGCGCTGACCGAGCAATCCAACAGTTCGGACGAACGCACCGCTCGAACCAGGTTAACTCGCCGGAGTACGTCTTTGTCATCACGGACCTGGCCGGCGAACGTCGGTTTGCCTCCACGGTGGCCAAAAGGCTAGAGAGTCTGGGTGCCCTTACCCAGGGAGATCGACGGGCCACCGACGCCCGTGACCTCTCGCAGTTCAACATCGACAACAGCATCGGGCGGAGCGCCCTCGAGAATGTGATGCAGCAGCTCACCGGAGAGAAGCCGCTGGACCATGCCAATGTTCCCGCCTCCTACAAGGGCGACTTCCTTTATGATTGCAGCGTGGCAATGGCGGGCGTGGGGATGCTCAATGTGCGCGAGGAGAACAAAGTGAAGCTGTTCTCCGTGGAGAAGGACAGCAACAACATATCCAAGTTCCTCAACCGTATCCTCGGCTGCCGCGTGGAGGTGCAGAACGCCCTGTTCAAGTTCTTTCTGGATAAGATGTACTCTCTGATCCTGCAGATGAAGCGCAAGGGTCACTTTGATCTGGGCATTCTCGATCTCGACGCTCACGGGGCTTGTGTGAAGTCCGTCAAGCTGATGAGGTTTGTCCGGAAGCATGCCACTGGCACTGCGGCCACCGAGCTGCATACCGTGACTGTGGAGCGGGGCATGTCCTACGAGACGGCCTTGGCGAAGTGAGTTTTGTCCCCATCCAGGACAGACCCCTATCTGACCCCTTCTGTTCTTTAAGGTACCGCAAAGAGGGTCGCCACGACCACGACGGATTCTACGTGCTGCAGCAGCTGCGGCACAACAAGAACTCTGCTATTCTGTGCCTGCACGCCAAGTCCAATGCGCCGGAGGGAGCCGCCAATTCCTCTCCCAGCAAAATCAGTCTGCAGCTCTACCGCCCCAACACTGGGCCCCAGGTGCGCCTGGAGACGCTCGGCTCCATCTTAACGCGCTACGAGAAGGTGGAGCCAGAGGCAGCCCGTGACTTTTGGCAGCAGCAACATGATTTGTGCCTGGACAAGTGCTCGCACGTCTATTGGAACGGTGCCTGCCCCTTTGCGGCTGGCTGCGAGGTGGGACTCCGCGTGCGTCCCTACCATGTCCTTTCCGGACTCATGTTGCCCATTTGGGACCGGATCGAGGTGATTCTCGAAAAGAGCGGCCACAAGATCCAGATCATACGCGTCAAGACCGATGTGAACAAGAAAATCGTGGGCACCGTGGTGCCGCACGGCGTCTACGATGCCCTGGTGGCCGATTTGTCCGCCGACTCCATCGTGGAGAGCCATTAATATGAGGACGCTACTGGATATGGCGAGGGCATCCATACCATCCCATGCCGGGTCCCGCCTTTAGCCGGTTTCTATTGCCACTTTAAAAATATCAACTCAAATCGTGGCATTCACTGCAATACACATGCCGTAAGCTTTCCCTTCTCAAAAATGCCAGGCACGCTCCACCAGCCGTCGAGGAGCAGGGACATGGAGCAGCTCCCGGTCATAAACAATGGCCACAAAAGCACATACGGGCAGACACTTACAGCCCGTCTGCGTGCGTATGTGATTCATACGTATTGTAGCGAGGGCTGCTACACGTACACTTGGAAAATTTATCTGCTCATTCTGGGTTAGCTTACAAAAAAACACAAATTTATTATTTAATTATCTTAAATTTATAATTCAATTCAGAAACCCCGTTGTTCTCGTTAATCGTTAAATAACTTGTTTATAATTTAAATATTATTTTGACATGTCCAATATCGGGTACTCCTTTTATACATCAAATTATTAAATAAAAAACACTTCAACTTAAATGCTTAATTTTGTTTCAATTATAGAAGAACTAATATTAGCATTTTTATTTTGTGTTAAAAAGCTACTGCATTTTTTTTACTGCACAAATTCTATTTTAGTCCTGCACTCTTGGGGGAATCTGCACAGCGTCTGTGATTGCATTCCATGTTCTGTCTTGTTCCCATTGCTAGGAGACCAACTAGAGACAGAGACCCTCCCTCGGATACATTATAAATTTTAAAAGGAGCGTGTCACACATGCGAGATATAAACAAAATATACAATGGCAGTCGGAGGATGGCGAGAGGAGAGCGCGAGCAGGGCAACGATTGGCATAAAGCATGACCAAATGGCCTTGGCAAATGTCGTGCCTAAGAAGCCAAAACGCAGTTGGCATAATAACTCACGCGTGATGCAGATATCGCAGTGGCAGCAAAAACAAAGATATAAAGAATTACAGGGCATATAAATTCTACATGTACTTAATTTTAAAATAATCCCACTTGAAGAAATTTACTACTACAATTATTAAATAATAGTAAAGTATTACTTGGGAAAGTAAGATTATATACACTTTATTTAATTAAAAGAAACCATTATGTTTCCACAATGATTTATTCTCTTTAAATTGTCATTAAAAAATTATAAAATATCATTGACGAATTTCTTGTTATCCTTGATTTCGGATTCTTCAGTATAAACATGAGATATTTGTGAGAAAATTAAAAAACACACTGTGTACTTGGAATTCTTTGGAAAAACACAGAGTCTGCCGGAATACCAGAGCTTTCGCAAGGCACAAACAGTTGAGCACACACACACACACCGGTGTGTGTATATGGGTTTGTTGTTTCTGTACGTGCCTATCATAAACTTTATTTGCGCCAACGTAGCTGCAAAAAAAAAATAAAATAAACAAGCGCAAGCAGCGGCAATCGCTTTAACGTGGCCAAAAACAAACAAATAAAATATAAAATTCTAAAACGTAAAATATGAGCCTGTAAAGTATGTGTGGCGCATAAAAAATATAATCATATTACGCTATACACAAATGTATATATCTATAGTCATATGCGCGCTGGGGAATCTCGCTTGGCGTAACCTGTAATTTCTTGAGGGGGCATAGCACAGGCCCCCTTACATTTCAGATTGAAGTTAACAAAATATTCATATTTTAACAAACGAAAAGTAAAAGAAAATGCCATTACGTGATGCCCTCGAATCGAAACCGGGAAAACGGGGAGCGGTACACACACACACACACACATTTTGGCCACACCACACATGGCGTATACGTAACGCAATTGAGTTCCACTCTCTCTTCCCTGCCGACACTTTCGCCGCGAACTTTACGATGTCCGCAGTACGTCCCTGATGGCTATGTCGGGGCCATGCAACACGGATTGAAGTAGCTTAAGGTGGGACTTACAATTATTGAGAGATTTCATTAAATTTGCAGGTAAAATCTGATGGCGGTAAAACAATTTTGGACCCAATTTCGTATCTCCACTTTGGGGGGGATATTTTGCCAAGTTATTTTTATTTATTTTTATGGGGACAGGGGGCCACTTCAAAAGTCCTTCATTTAATTTAAGCGACTACCATATATTTTGTTAGCCCACATATTTCATTTGTAGTCGGTCCCCCTCTACAATGTCCCTACCGACCGACTACGCTGTTTTGGCCCTTTGGCAAATTATTCACAATTTGTCATTTGTCTTTGATTTATTTGCATTTTAAAGGCTTTCAACGGCAGCGATGGCGATGGCGACATCACCGACGTAATAAATTTCAGCCTGGTCCTGTCCCGGGCCCAGGACTGTCTACCTTTTGGTAGCTGTCGGCAATGGTTTTTCTTTGCCGATGGCCCTCCTTCGGGTTGCCACCGCCCGGCGTTCCTTTCGGGAGACCTTCCGCCGCTTCGCTCATACTTTAGACTTAAGCACAATTTGTAATACTTACAAACGACATTCAATTTCCACATGGTCTCCAAATACAGGCCATTCACATTTGGATTTTCCGCACGGCATGTTATCGATTTGCCATCGTCGTCTGTGGTCGGCACAAAGCTCAGCTCGGAGCGTGTCGAGTTCTTTGATATGTCGTCCTGTAAGGAAAAGAAAAGAGGAAAAAGTGCACAGAAAATATAAGAAAATGTTTCTGCATTAATTAAGTTTTCCCCGCCGGCCGGGCCCAGTCGAGACTGAGGCTCAGACCTTGCCTCGGGCCAGAATTTCCTTTTGGTTGGCCCCTTTTGTCCTTTTTTGCTTACAAATTTGTCGAAATATTTTATGTTTGCAATTTAAAATTTATTAGTATGTTTGTTCGGGTTTTATGTGCCACGTGAGGGTGTGTGTGTGTGTTTGCGCGCGTATGTGCTTGCGGGGTATTATAAATTTAATGGCAGACAGGGACACCAGCAGGGCGTCACACAATTAGTTGAGCTTCGTTCTCCCCATAGTTGGTATGGTCATAAAGGGTTTTCCCCCGCCCCAAGTAAGCACTTCACACATTGCTCGAATTGCTCTAAGGCAGGGTTTGCCGAGATATGTGATGCGGGCTGGCGGTTTGTGGGTGTTAAAGTGCTGGCAGTTAGCAGCCACATAAATCCCTCCACTCGGTGGCAAAATATGATCGATTGGACGTTAAGTTCAATTATTTTGGTGACCGGAGGTCATTTGTAAAAACTTTGATGTTTTCTTTTAATATTTATTCATTTTAACTTGCTTGTAGACTTTCTTTAATAACTCTTCACCTTCGGTGTTGATTTAAGTTTGTTATAGTTCACATATATTGGTTATTCTTGGTACTAGCTAGGTGTATTCGACCTCTGAATCATTTTTATAGGTGTCATTTTCATTAAAATATAATATATTTATATACCAATATAAACCACACAAATATTAACAACCATAGATAACGCTAATAATTATGATTGTACAAAAAGTACATACATAAAGCTGGTTAATATTAATAAATATAAAATAAATGATAACATTTATATCTTTCTAAATCAAATAAATAACTATTAATACATTGTTCAACTAAATAAAAGTAAACAATAATTACCTCTGTACACTTAAAATCTCCAAGTTTAATAAATATTGTTTTATTTATTGTTCAGCAACCATTCTTCCCTCTAGCACTATTTACGTTCGCTGGCTAAACTTCTCAATTAGACTGTCTGCAGGGCCTTGATTAATGCCTCGCTTCCACGGCTAGTACATAGAACACCCACAGACATATTAGAAACCCCAAAGTAGGGTACGAAAAGGCATGTAAAACATGTTGGACCGAGGACATCGAGGACTGGGAGTGCGGGCCCTGCCGCATTACGGCAACTTTATGCTACATGAAAACTAGTGAAAAACATTTCCGGTCTTTAAAAACATTTGCCCCGGCACAGACCAAAGCGGCAAAGCAATCAGCTTGTACATATATATATATCTATATATAGGCGGATAGACACGGACATAAACAACGAGCCAGACCTGAGAGGCCCGGTTGGGATATGCCAAAGCAAAACTCGACTCGAGGTCCCCGGCACACAAAAATGAATTGCAACAAAATTGCACCAAAACTCCCATAAATTTGTCCAAAGTTAAGGGGGAAAAAAATTAAAAAAGAAAACAAAAACCACACACAGAAAACTGGCTTAGAATACAAATGTATTGTATACCCTAGAGACATTTTGATATAGAAAACACTAACGATTAAAAAGGATTGGGATTAATATTAAAATAGAGAAACATGTGATCCTTAAAATGAATTTTTCATTAAGTAATCAGTGATTTATATATCTATCATAAGAAAAATTAAAACAAAGATGCATAACGTCAGGTAAAATGCTAGATATTTCCAAATTTCAACTTTAAAAATATATTAATTTAAGAATTTTAGTACTAATATTTAATGTAATGTTAAAGTACGCAACTAAAAATATTATATACCATTCTTCATAGTCAGTGTAAAGTCTTGTTAATATTGATGATACCCTTAACTAGTCAAAGGGAAAAAAGTGGGAGAGCCAGAGCAAAATGCAAAGCGTACTAGAATCGTTTGTGTATTGTGGAGTTTATATCACATTATCTGTGTTTATTCTAACCAAGTTGTGGGGTGCCTAGGACCCAGCTGCGAGTGTGAACCACGCCCAGGCACAACAAGTGGGTGGCAGGTCATGTCTGTCCCTGCACTATGCCCCAGCGATGGTGCTGGCGGCGGAGATGGAGGTGGCCACGAGTTACGAGCTCCGTTTGTTTGGCATGACTGTGCAAACACAATAAGTTATCGAGCTGAACGTGAGTCAGTCAACAGCAGCAGAGAGAGCCAGCCAACTAGCTGCGTCGATTGCGGTCATTCCCACCCACTCCAATCTAGTCCACAAAACCAAAGCCACCAACCCTCCCACTCCCACTCCCACTCCCACCCAGTGTCACCCAATGCAGCCCGCCCACCCCTCACCTTTGTGCGGCGTAATTGGCGTTTTCCTTTGTACCAGGTGATGATGGCATTCGGTCGGGAGCCGGAGGACTCGCAGGAAACCTCGTAGCGACGATCGGCAATCATCGAGCTGGGCGGGTCCAGGATTTTCACAACCAGCGGCTTCACTATAATTGGACAGGAAGAACATTCAATTCAATGCAATTGTAATTAAAACTGTTTACCATAATATTTCATGGTCTCATAATTGCAGTTCGTTTTGTACGGCAATCATTTCCAACCACCTTCGGTTGTGTTTACCAAGTGTGTCGCTCTGTGTGTGTGTCTCTGTGTGTACTTGTGCCAGTATCAACAACAATTTGTGTCTATTACGTCTCGACAGCTCTCAAGTGCTGCACTTCCTGGCAGGATTATGACTTTGTCCGGCCATCGGTTGCCGTGTCTGCAGCTCGTTGATACTCTGCTTCTTGAGCTGCTCCTGGCGCATTGTGTTTTACGTTTCCACCTTGGAACTGGATCTACAATCGTGGTAGGGATTGGGTCTTGAATAAGGGGGAAAAACGAGGGCACAGGCTTCTGTGGGAACACGAGGACCTGACATTCGAGCGTTGACGCCCCCCCATCGACAATGTTGTTCTCCAGTTAGCATATAATTATTTAATGGCCCTTATAATGCTGCAATGAGTTAGCTAAATGCTAGCCTTGTGGCTCATGAAAAGTCTTAGCTAAGGTTATAGCCTTAAAGCAGAGCACTCGAGAGGTCGTAAGCAATATACACAGGCACATTGGTCGATTTCTTGGACTATTCGTGTGAAATGTATTGACTAGCCTTACTTTATTATGTTTTAAAATGTGTAAAAATAGTTTACTATAATATTCAAGTATTTTTTATAGGTTTTTAATTCTTGTAACTACATTTTTCAGGCTTCTTAAACGTTCAGTTTAACGTCAGAGTTTAAGCAAATATATCAGGCAAAAAGGCACACCCCACTTACAGTGCATATCCAGTATGAAGCTCTTCTCCTTGGGCTTATCTAATTGCGTATTCAGTGCCTGACATGTGAATACGGAATTCAAATCGTTGCGCTGCACCGATGGCCACAACAGACGGTTCTCGATAACATCGCCGGAATTGTGCTCGTTTTGATTGTCGACGAGCAGTCCATTTACGAGCCACCGGACCTGCGGTTGCGGCCGACCTATTGGGATAACCCAAAAAAAAATATCAGTAGTTGAAGGAGCGTAAGTAGAATGGTTGTAAAAACGAAAAATGGTGCAAATTAAAAAGTCAAGCTTGAGAAAATACCACAAGCCAATCCTGGGGGCCAAAGCGAGCCATGCCAAAGCAGACTTTGTGATATTTTCATTTGCTGCCGTTTTCGTCCTGCGCCGTTTTTTGCTTTTTGCCGGTCAAAGCTTTTAAGGAAATTAACAGGAAATTGTCTAGCCGAGCATACGGATGTGGCTCGTGTGTCGAGTGTGTGTGTATGTATCGGGGTATTGGGGTTAAGTTCGTCCTTTGTAGTCAGGCAGCTCAACTTTCAACTTACCGCCCACCACACGACAAGTGATAACGATATCGTCGCCCTCCTGCTTGGGCCCCAATTGAGTGCCATTCAGCTGACGACCCCAACGATCCAGGATGATTGGCTGCTCCGGAAGGACTAAGAACAAACAAATGGAGGGAGGGCAATGATGGTAAAGAGGAGGGTACACATTTTTCAATGGCACTCATGAATACGTTTCCAATGTTTCATTTGGGGCAACACTCACTTATTACTGACAAATTGAAGCGGAAGCTTTGCGTTTGACTGGTGCGAAAGTCCACACGACAGCGGTAAATGCCCTGATCATGACGCTTGATATCCTGCAAAAATTGTAAGTTATTATTTGTGGTTGCAACGGAGGTAAACAGACGATTAGCATGCACACACACACAGTGTCGCCTCTTGAAACACTTTTTCCAGCCTTATAATTTTCCATTACTATTGCATGACACCGAGAGCGTTTGCGGTTAGCATTTGAGGGGGCTTAGTCCTAGAATACTGTCTGTCACTCTAATAACATTTTGTTTTGGCCTGTGTGTTTCTGTGGGTACGGTTTTCAATAAGCTTTTTCAGTTTATTGTCTATCTGACTGAAAAACGAGCTCTCTCTCTCTCTCAGGAGCTCTCAGCCACTTGTCCGAGACAGCTCGGTCACTTATTTAATAATTGAATTGGGCCCCTCAGGATTTTGTTTAGAAAACTGTATAGTTTCTGCTTGAAATTTTACTCGAATAACTCTTGCCTGTGCTAATTCATTTTACTAAATAAAACTAAGAAAACTAATCTGTGTTTTGATAGTGTCTTGATTTTGTTGTGGGATTTTATTTATTTTTAACACATTTTTCTATATATCAAAGCAAAATTATACGCAAATATAACTATTTGGTAAAGAACTGATTTCTTGTGCCAGATATTATGCTATTTTACATTTCGTAAATTTTATATATTATACTAGTATTCATTCTAAAAAGTTTATATAATAAGCTTAAGCTTAAAATCAATTGTTTTATAGAATTCTATTGATTTATAATTTTATATATTTATGTATGTTCACAAGGTATGTCGCTGTGGAATCATAAGTAGTTAAGTCAGACTCTCCACTCATAATTAGAGAAAAACCTAATGGAAATGTGATATGTATTTCTAATATTATTTTCGTTCCAACAACGATGGCTCTTGACCTAACTGGCTTTTGATTGGAAGTACCTGAAAATCATCCCCAAAAGTGGAGTAAGTGTGCCTCTCCATACATAACCAGGATACTCCAGGATACTTGGCTCCTCCTGCATTCGCTTGCACTCATAAACAGCACAAAGTTAATTGGCTCGCAATTGATACGCAATTAAAATGAATTTATAAGCCAGACTAATTTCAGCACATAATTCATGACCTCTCCTTCCCCTTGGCCTGCTGGAATTATCCCTCATAAGAAGTCCTCGGCAGCGATCGCCGGATTTATGGTGGCCGCCTTTTCGTGTGCATTTCACATTCATTTCAAAATGCAGCTCGTTAACGAACCTGCTGTCCCCGAACCGCCCTGCTGGCTGTTTATTGCTTAACTCACTTAAGACCCCCGACCGAGTTGGCCTTTAAAAAGTCAAATGCCCTGGCAAGGCAGGACTGGCCCTGGCAAGGGCAATCCACGGCGAGACGATGCGAAGGCGACTGCGACTACGATGAGTTGAAGTAGCAAACACATTGCATAAGTACGTAGTACTATACCCCGGGCACACACAGCCCTATCTATGTGTTGCATGACAGAAACGCTAAATCAAGTTATCTGCAAACATGCAAGACATTAATAAACATTTCGCGTGCGCCAGGCAATTTAACAACTTTTGATATCTAAATTTGTTTTCCACATTCCATTCGGTTTCCTCGACTCTTCTTGGCCATGTTTTCACCATTGCTACTTCCGCTAGTTGCTTGTTTTTCGGCTTTCTCTTTTATTTTGCTCTGGTTTTTCTTTGATTTAAATTTTTTTTTGTGAAACGCATTTCAGACATTCATTTAAATTTCAGCACTTGCAAAATAATTGGAATTTATTATCTCTGGTTGTATTTGAAATAATCAATTTAAAGTCTAAATATTTATTTTAAATTTAAAGATTTAACTTTGATTTGCTTAAATTTGTTCCTATTTCTAGCATATTCAAAAGTGCACTCAGTGACCCCAATAAATAGACAACGAACTCATCCATTCCGTTGCATTTCAATTCAATGTCGCATTTAATTCCAGATTACTTAAAATATTAAACCCACCCGCCCCCTCACTCTCTGCCCACTGAAAATTAATGGGCACGGATTCTCGATCCCGCGGGTAAATCTCACCTTAATTTCCAAGGTTGCTGGCTGCGAGTCAAAGTGAAATTTGGCACGTGAGCCAAAAACCTCCGGGGCTGACCAATGTCGGGGCTGGTTGCGGCTCTCCTTATCGCGCACATCGAAGCTGGAACGAGAGAGACACAAATACATTAAATAACACGGAACACGGAGCCACGAAAACACCCGCCGCCCATCCACGATTAATATTTAATTTGGGCCTGGCTCGCGAATTGAATCAGGCCCCGGAATTCCAACCCACTCTGGAATTAATGAAATCCATAGCCAATATAAGTCAGCCGCCCACGCTCACATCCCCCCTGCTGCCTCTAAACTTTTAGCACGAGAATTAGCGTAATTTATTTCGGTTTGCTCATTAGGCCGTGCAAGTCCAGGGGCGGAGAGGAGGCTGAGCCTCCGGGTCTTGCATAGCCTTGCCAAATGCAATTTATGCGCAGCAGATAAAATTATTTGTTGTTGTGCGTTTTTTTCGACATTATATTTTTCGATTTTCAGTGAACATTTAAGCTTATACTGCGTTTAATGGGCCAAGTTTTCGATTCCAGAGAGTTTCAAACTTCTTAAGAGCTGCTGGGCCTAAGAGACAACAACAGGCATGTTTAAGGGAATGTGCATTACAAGGCTGCAATCTCAACGTAAAATATGAAATTTTAAGCTACTATGTCCCAAGTTAAATTAAATTGCTTATAGACGAGCAAGTAATGCAATTTTTAAATATTAAAATATAGTCTCCAGACTTCACTTTGCCCTGCCGTGAGTTTAATTTGATTAAAGCAACCGCTGTCAATTATATTTTCGGCTGCAACAGTTTCAAATTTTCAAGCCAGACCAAGGACTGTCTATCCAAAGAGGTCCTTAGCCGCGCTCTCTGTTGCTCTTCACCTAGCCCCCTCTGTCTGCCCCTCAATGGCTGCTGCGATTGCAGCCACTTCGTCTGCTTTTTGTGGCTGGCTGAAATTTAAGCGTCCTTTGTATGCAACACACAATAATTTATGCGGGAAACCGTCGAACTTGCCTGCGCACTCGCTGCGAATGCAACAACTTAATTGCGGCACGACGCCAGTCGGCAGCCGGCTCAAGTGCGGCAACACCAGGAGCAGCAACAGCAACAGCCACAGTGGCAACAGCAATACCAGAGGCTTACAGCGAGAGGGAAAGCCCCAAAAGGACACTGGGAGAAATGTTGGATTTTATTTTAATTACAGTTTGGTTTCAAAGCAAAGTTTAGTGGGAATTTAGGTATAAAATAATAATTCAAATAATTCTTAGTTGTCTCGATTTAAAGTAATGAATTTTGACTTGCCAAGGTTAGTTTCTATCCTAAGTCATGTACATCAAAGTTATCCAGTTTCGCCCAGTGTCCAATGTTAACCCAATTTTTTGTATTATTTTTTGTAGTTCCCTTAGCCGCCATTTTAATTAAAAAACTAAAAAGCAGTTGGACTTTATTTAATTGGAAGTAGGAGTGAGAGTGCGACTGAAAGAGCAAGTGGCGCGTGTGCGAAGGAAAATTGTCGAAAGAGTGCCCAACTTAATAACAGTTCGCAGGGAGTCCCGGTGCCTATGCTAAAAATGTTTATGGCTAAATAATACGCAAATGCGAGCAACGCGACTCCGGGCAAATTGAGTGAAATGGAAATGCACCGGGATTGCAGCAAGGATGTGGGGCTTACCACCAGGACGAAGGCCAGAGTTGTCAGGACAGGAAATAAAGCGCACTGACTGATTGAATTTAGAAATACCCTTAGGACAAATTGACTTTGGCTAACTGGGACGCAGTCTGGCGGCAAAAATGACTAAAACAATTCGCTTCTGCGGAAAATTTAAGTTCGTTGTTGGGAACAAACGACTACCAGGGAATAAAATAAAATGAGTTAAATTCAAGCTTTGAATGCTGCATATTAAATTAAGTATTAAAATTGTAGTGAAATTAGGATACCTTTGTATTAAAGGGAGATTTTTAATTTTTTGTTTACTACAACTTTGCCTGTATTGCCAGTATACCTTTAAATTTAAAGTTAAGGTATCCATGATTTTTTACTACATAGTTTAATCTTACAGAACGCCCCAAGTAACTCTAGCTTAGAGGGAAAAAAATCCCTTGGTTGACAACCAAAAGGCGCAACGGAGCATGAAAATGCCGTGAATGCAATTAAGAAGTAACCCCTTGCAGGCTTTCAGCCAAGAGCCAGCAATTACAGCCACTTTACCGGGGACTCCACTTCAGTCGACCTGTGATCATCTGACCTGCATTGGCTTCGCAATTTTCCGTAATTTAATCTTTGGCGGCGACGCCTTGCTGGAATATTTTGGACTACACATAATTCCTGCGGTTTGTCGGGCCCCGAGGTTAATCACTCTAAATTAGGTAAACATAATTAAGTTAATTCCATGGCGCTGACGGGGCGAGCAAAAGTCAAACAAAAAATGTGAAACAAAAACAGGTGGGGGCGGGGGAGCTAAGCTAAATCACACATTCTTCTGGCGAACACGAGCCCTGCTAAATACACACCCCGGCGTGCTAGACAGGGAAATCATAGCATACTTATGTGCGTCGGTGCCCCCAACGATTTAAAAAGGTAGAAGCTACTCTCGAGACTCTCGTTTGCATTTAATTATATGTGTGCATAAGCCGAGACAATGGACCAATTCAGCCCTCCAGACATGGACTCGTCCTGGGACTTGGAAGCTAGAAGCTGGGAACTGGAAACTGGGACTCACCTATAGAGCGGTATGCCGGCATTATCGCGGAACCATAAGACCATATACACGTTATCCAGCGGCTCCGTGATGGGGCAGGGCAGAGACACTGATTTCCCCTCGACGGCATCAATGTCCTTCGTTTTTACTGTGGTTCAGTTCCAGGCAAATTATGTTGTCACGGTTTTGCGTTGGTTTTGTTCGGATTTTTTTCGTTATTTTTGTTTGTGTGCGCGGTTGGACAGCATCAGCATCGCCATGAAAATAGAAAATAAATGCGTAAAATTTGTTAATTAAATGTTCCATTTCTCCGCCGTTCGCCCAGGCACGTTACCGCGGCATGCGTGGCTGCCTCGTTGCGAGTAAAGCTTTTAGCAATTAAACGTTGATGGCGGCTTAATTCCTACGTAATTACAAATGCGTAAATTTGAGCTGCCCTTTACGATGCCGCACATATTCCGCCCCCATTGGCTTAGCAACCGCCTGCGGGCGGCCGTATTTATTTATTATGCATGTGCAAATGCGTGCACCAACATTTTTTTCGTCCTTTGGGTTCGACAGGCTTTTAGGCCCTTTTATTGGATGCAAACTTGCAAAGCTCATCAGGCGGATGTTTGTGCAGAAAGTAATGTTAAAGAAATTTAAGCAAAACATTTGAATCCGGGGAGTGTATCCTAAATTAAGGCATACAAGTTGGGTGAATAAGCGGGAGAGTATACTATGTTGTCAATGATAAAGCTGGGTTAATTATTTTACTTTCTTTCATTATATAGATATTTGTAAAAATATTTTTACAATTTTTATAATCGAGATACTATTGATTATTATTTATTTCCCGCTTTCTTTTGTAACAAATGTAATCTCAAAACGCTACCAGTGTATTTTTCTGCCAAGTCAGCAGAAGCATAATTATTTGCCTCTTAAATTTCTTCTATTTTATGGCTCTATGCAGCGTTTTAGCTGCAACAACATTTTGGCATTGAATCAAGCAGCACAACGACAGCAACAACAACAACGTTGTAGGCTGTCACATATGCTGAGGCTGTTCTTGTTGTAAATGTTGCTGTTGTTGTTGTTGCTGTCCCGCGTCATCCTATATCAAATGCGTGTAGATAAAAGTATATATAAATATAAATAAAAATGTCTGCGCTGAAAATATTTCGAATCATATCAAAAGCAAAAGCGGCCATAAAAAATCGTTGTAACATCCTTCACATCGCGCCTCGCCTCCCTCTAAGCCTACGAGTTCCCATTCCCGCCCATTCTTCGTCCTTCGTCCTGCTCTTGTTGTTCTTTCTTTCTTCCTTTTCTTTTTTTTTTGTTGTTGTGCTCTCTCCGTTGACTTTATGTGTAAATATGAAAAAATGTCATTTTATTGCCACAATGCGTCGAAATTTTGTGAAAATTTATTGCGCATACGCAACGTTGTACAATAAATATGCGCTTAAATGCCCCCGAAATGTATGGGTGTGGGTGGGCTTGTGTCAGCATATTTTATGCTTTGCCTGTTTGCTTAGCACTGCCGCCTCTGTGGACAGAGGCTGGTTCACTGCATCCGACCAGCAGTGATCCATACAGACTGGGAAAACAGAATCAAAAAATGTGTGTAGGTTCAAGTGTCTTAGGTATGACGATAGGTACGATATGGCACTTGGGTGTCTTTAAGAGATTTGAGCAGATTTTTGCACCTAATTAGTTTGCATAAAATCTGGAAACCTAGCCTTAGTCTTAAAAATATATATGATTATTTGCACAGGAACTGATTATAAAGTGACACCCTCCTCTTTAAAGACTTCTTTCTGAGTGACTTATCCCAGATCGAATCTCTTCAAACCCCTTTGCTTTGGCATTTTTATGAGCCTTGGATTTCGCTGGACACCTTTTTGGGGCGTCCATTAGTCGGGCAATCTTAGCTCCAAACCAGGCAATCCATTGCATTTTCTAGGTGCTAGTGATGGTGCTGGTGCTGGCGTACTCCAAAAAGGCAAGAAGTTGAAGCGAAATGCATAACCAAACGACTGGAAACTGCTCTGGCCCGCCCTGGCAGATCTCAAAATTGTCTGCTCTGCTCTACTCAGCTCTCCTCTTTTTGGCTGCATTTTTGTGTCGCCTTTGGTTTTGGCCTTCACTTAACTACAGCAGTCAGCTCTCGACAGCTCGTGCATGTTAAAAGCTATTTAAATATGCTCTCTTTGAATGCCTTGATTGGCTTACTTGGGCTCTCTCCCAACTCGGGATGCCATTCCTGACCTCCGACCTCGCCTGCGTTTGCTTTTGCATTTGCCTTTGCTTCGTCTTGACTCTCCGGTGCCCTGGTGCTGACAAAAAGGAGAGAAAAGCCAAATGAAATAACAACGAACATAGATGAAGCAGTGAAGTGCTAGAGCTGCATAACCTCTTTGCATGAATTAACCCCATAACGACCATTGAGCACCGAAAACCAAATTGATTTGCCGTATCAAAAACTTGGGAAATGAATTCTAAAGTTTGGTGATGATTTTGGAGCTATAAAAAAATAACCAATCATCTCAAAAAACGTACCTTTATTTGGTAGAAACTTAAAGAGTTAAAGAGTTAATAACTATTTGTGGTATTGAGTCTATGATAAAAGAAGGGATTCCAATATAAAATTGTGGATTGCTTATTTGAAAAACCATAAGTTCTATGGATCAATAATTTTATCAATTTTATTAGGCAATAAAGAAACAGAAAATGTTTTAAATTAGTACTGTTATCTTTAAGATTAAGCCTCCTCTATAAATATTTCTCTGCTATATAAACCATATGACTTTAGGCCTATTAAAAATTTAATAAATAGGTTATAAGGATAGAAATATAAAAAAAAATGCAATATTTAAATAGATATTTTTATAAAGTCGCCATTATATTGAATCTTTTATAATAAATCTCCTGTAGCACCATAATATCCAACTTGGGTTAAGACAACCTCAATCAGTATCAGCTACCATATACATAAACACACACACACACGCATACCGCAATGCAACGCCCCATCACACAACGGTCTGACACGCCCCCAGCCCCACCCCATTGAAAAAACACCCGCATTTAGAAGCTCTCTGTTGATGCAATTTCAAATGCAAAACTTTAATGGAATTTTGCGCTGGCTGTGTGTATTCGTTTGGGTGACAATAGTTCAGAACAACTTGACGTACTCGCAAGTTTTGTGTCAAATGCATTTTGCACATATTTTGTTGCATATTTCGAAGGGCTGTGGGCGGCGGCGGAGGAGGGGATTAACTTCATGTGAGTAGGTTTAATTGATATTTAACAAGGAGTCTCCGGTCGCAAAGCAATTTCTATTTCCAGCCATATTTGCCGGCGGGCCTCGAGCCCTGCAATTACCCGTAATGGTAAACCAGACTGAAGCCCTCCGGGATGGAAATGTAACATGTTTACTCGGGGCTTTTCTGCTTTTTTTTCTCGATTAATCGTCGGCCTCATTAGGGTCGAGTATTTTTATGAGGCCCCAGGGGGCTCAAGGAAATTGCAGTGGTACATAGGTGGAGTTGGCCATGAAATTAAAGCTTAAAGTCTATAAATCGCTATAAGTCGCTACAAAAACTGAAAAAGAAAATATTTTTATATTTATGTTTATGAGGGAATTATAAAAATCGAGTCTCCAAATGAAACTGTATATGATTTTGCAAATTTATATGATTTGTTTTATAATAAAATAATATTGAAACTAATTTATATTAAAGTTTTTAAAATAATATATTTTATACTTTTAATTTTTTCTAGGACATGCTGCCTCAATAAGCAAACTTTAATTCATTTAAAAATTCTTTGCATGTTGCTATATTTTTAATTAAAAAAATTAAAAACACCAGCAGAATCCTGTGAAAACCACATTCAGTCTGCAGTTCGCCTCGACATTTTTCCCCGATTTTCAATGTATATTTACTTTTCTGATTTACTGAGCCGATATTTTTTTATCTGTTTCATGTGGTTGGCTTTTTACAAATTACAAGCATTATGGTTGCGCATTAAGTCCGCTGAAATTACTGTGTGTTCGAGTACTGTCAGTAAGTAATCCCTTTCCCATAAAACCTCGTGGTATTTCTGGCTTTGGCTTATTTTTCGCTATACCACTGAGCCATTTCTGATATTAAAATTCTTACCTCATTATCACCGAATCGATGACTTAATTTTGATTGCCTACCATGGCATTTCCAATTTTGTGAAACTAAAACCCTAACGCTATAAAAAATATGAATAGTTGACAACCCGGCATATCAGGCCAGGCAACTGGCAAAGAAGGAAATGAAAAAAGAGTTTTGCATTTATTTTATTATATTTCAAATTTAATCAAATTGAAATTTAGCCAGGACGAAGGCTAACGGCAAATTGGCAGACAGCCAACATGAAATAAAATTTAAACAAAATTGCAAAGGCAAAAGAGACCAAAAAAACAACGATATCCAACAGCAGCAGCAAAAAATATTCAAATCTAATGATATTTTGTCATGAAATTCAATTAAATTTTCCAAGAACTAGTCTCTGGATTGCAGGCCGAAAATGTAAATCCGAGTTTATTGGGTTTTAGGGAGCGGAGGGAAAATCATTTTGCTGGAATATATGAATTTCAAAGGTTGAACTCACAATAAAATCATACTTTCTTCTATGAAGAAAACGATTTATTATTGTACGAGGTCCATACAATTTAATCGTTATTTATTTTGATGCACAATACCAGAGATATTTGATTCAAGCCGCCTCCCTAGACTTCAGATGCACGTAACAAGCAATAATCAGAAAGAATGGAAACAGGAAAAAATCAAATGGGATGAGCTCAAGCTGAAAAGGATGCAACGACAAGGATAGCTGGATGAGAAGCAACATTTGCAGGTGCGACAGAAACAACCGGAGGAGCAGCAGCAACGTTTCCATCAGAAAACGAGATAAAAGCAATACCAATCGCAATGGCAGCGGCAATACCATCTTCAGTCCCACTGAATCGATTTGGGGCTCAACTACGGAATCTGCATAGACAGCAACAATGGCAACAGAGCCGGCCAGCTAAAGCAACAATCGGGCCAAACAACTAAGCCCGGCTTTATAATAAAGTAACAGAAATCTGTCAGATGCCCCTCACTATCCTCTCCCTCTAACTTTTTGACCTGA